TTCTAAACCACTGCCTATTTCATATCTCCTCTTGGATACTCTTTCAAAGATAATTAAAGATGGCCTCAAGCTCCTCCATTCCCTGCCCTTCCTAACCCTGGACTTCCGCCCTGGTTCCCTGTCCCAGGGAGTGGGAGCAAATCCTTCCTAGCACTTAAGACAGAGCCTTCAATGTCCTCCTAGACACCTACTTCTTCCATGCCTCCACTCCCTACTAATACCCAGCCACTCACAACTCCTATCCATTTCACCTTACAGCATCACCTGGACTTCCATCTCAGCCTCCTGTCTGGGCTCCCAGAGTCTGCTCCAACTCACTCCTAGGCTGTTTTCCATCCTGCATTCAGATGGATCTTTTCGCAATGTAAATCCGGAAATGTTATCCCACAATTTAGAACACCTCAACTGCTTTCCCATTTCTCTTTAAATAAAGATCCGAGTCCCTAAATCAGTTGTCAAAATCCCTAGCCACCTGAACTCGTGCTCCCCCAGCTTCCCTGAGCTCCTGAGCACTCATGGTGCTTTAGCCACACTGTCTTGCTCTCAGTCCACTGAAGGCCCCTGTGATCTTCCCTGCCACCAGGCCTTTGCACAAGCTGAGCCAAAAGCCTAGACCAACTTTCTTCTCTCCCATTCTTCTTCACCAAGTTGATACCAGCTTAATCATTCCCAGGGAAATCTTTTCTGACTAGACCAATTCCACCCATTAACTGCTCTCTAAGCACTTTTTCTTTCAATACCTGTCACAATTTTACTGACAGGACTCTGGTTAATTTGTTTCCCCCATCAGACTGAATGTTCTATGGGATAGGGACTAGTTCTCTATTTTCCTCTCATTATTTTAAAACCACTGCTTAGAATACTGACAACAGTTAATAAGTATTCCTTGAGTAAGTACAAGATGAAGCATGCATAGGCACTGGGCTATCCTTTGTAACTTGGTGATTTCCCTAAAAAATACAGGGTCTGTCACGGTATCCTATGAAACAACTACTACACTGAGCTCTGTGAATCTGTGTGATTTGACCAAAAGATCTTCTGATATTTCCAAATGCTTCCCCAAAGTAGTACCCACCAGTACACTTCTGCCCTGATTCTTCCAGTTGAGAGAAATCCTACAGAAGTCTAGGTTGGGTTGGGTGAAAAGTTTTAAGAATAGAGAACAAAACTTTCATTCTAATAATTATAGATAACACCTAACAATTTATAATATTAGAAGGCAGTTACCTTTTGGTGTTTCCATTTTATCTGTACAAACAGCTGTCCTCAAACTACGGCCCACGGGCCACATGCAGCCCGCCTAGGACATTTATTCGGCCCGCTGGGTATTTTTGCTGCTCATGGCACCCTCAAACTCTTGGGCTTAAGTGATTCTCTTGCCTCAGCCTCCCAAGTAGCTGAGACTACAGGTGCCCGCCACAAGGCCTGGCTATTTTTTGTTGCAGTTGTCACTGTTATTTAGTTGGCCCGGGCTGGGTTCAAACCTGTCACCCTTGGTGTATGTGGCTGGGACCATAACCACTGTGCTACGTACGGGTGCCGAGCCTGCAATTAAAAATAGGAGACACCAGAAGCAAAGGCAACAACAAAAAAAATAGATAAGTTTTATTTCATTAGAATTAAAAATGTGTATCAAATGTACACTCTTTTTTTTTTTTTTGAGACAAAGTCTCACTCCGTTGACCTGGATAGAGTGCCATGGTGTCATAGCTCACAGCAATATCAAACTCTTGGGCTCAACTGATCCTCTTGCCTCAGTCTCTCAAGTAGCTACATGTGTCTGCCATAATAACTAGATAGTTTTTTCTATTTTTATCTGAGACAGGGTCTAACTCTTGCTCAGGCTGGCCTTGGACTCTTGAGCTCAAGCAAGCCACACACCGTGGCCACCCAGAGTGCTAGAATTATAGGCGTGAGCCACTGGATCGAGACCCTCAAAGTTAGTTTCAAGAAAGTAAAAAGACAATCCATAGAGTGGGAGAAAATAATTACGAACCATATCTCTGATTAGGATTTAACATCCAGAATTTAAAAAGAACTTCTGCAACTCGAGTACAAAAAGACAATTAAAAAAATGGGCCAAAGACTTAAATGGACATTTCTACAAAGAAGGCAGGCAAGTGACCAATAAGCATATGAAAAGATGCCCCAAATCATCAGTTATCAGGGAAAGGCAAACGAAAACCAGAATGAGATACTACCTTGCACCTCTGAGGGTGGCTGTTAGAACCAAAATGAGAAG